CCAGGCCCAGCTCTCCAGCCTGTCCAGGTCTAGGTTAGTGCAATGTTGTAAAGATGCAAATAATAGCCAAACCATAGCCTAAAGCAAAAGCCCAGAACTTAGGGGAGAAGAAACAAATAGCTATTTTAGCAAACATGGTATTTTTAAAATATTTCTTATTCTCCACATACAGAGATCCTGTGTTCATCAGCCTAAAGGCCTTCTTTTACAAGTTGTGGTGTGAAGGGAATAAGGTTAATGATCATTTACAGTATTTGATTTTTAAAAATCAGTTCAACTGAAGCTTTGAAAAATGATTTGGTGTCAGGGTTATTACATCAATTGAGAAAATTTTACAACACAATGCTGTAATTCTGTAAGGGTGACTGAGCAGTGGAACAGGTTGCCCAGAGAGGCTGCGGAGTCCCTGTCCACGGAGATATACAGCATTGGGCTGACACGGCTAGGAGCCATCTGCTCCAGGCGACCCCACGTTGAGCAGGGGCGTGACTACATGATCCCCCCAGCTATTCTGCAATAAATACAAGAGTCTAGTATACTTAAATGTAATAACAAGAGTTATTAATGCCCTCTTTCTGCTTAAAACTGCTCTTCTTTCTCTCTGAAAGAACTGCTTCAGGACCAGAGTGGAAGTATTTTCATACATTAAAGCTGAGCTCCTAAATCTATACAACAATGCACCTTTAGAAAGACAAGTCCCAAACTTCGAACACGAGGAGCGCCGTCGTCTGGTCACAGCAGACCAGATCTGTGGATGTTCTACATCCTGGAAGACGACACAGCTCATCAGTTCCGATACGGCTTGTCGGTGTTGACACTCCTCAGTTTACGGCACTGCTTATCAGTTCTGTGCTCACACTTTGACTCTTTCATGGTGAAAATGGGACTTGGCTCTGCTCTTAGAGTTTTTGAGCATAAGAGCTATTTTAACGTAATTCAGCATTAAAGATTATATACAATGAGTTCAGAAACTATTAAAAAGAAAAAAATACATAAACAAAAAACACAACCAAAAGTATCTCTGTATGGCTAAGAATATAAACAATGGAAAACATGGAATAACCCAGTTCTTTAGATAACTCAAATACAGTCTTTTTTTGTATAAAGATTCTTATTTATACAAATAAAAAAAGGTTTTTTACGTTCCACAGTTGAATTTTGAAGCTGCACCTGATTTGCGAGTTGGCTCAGCTCCCGTGGAAAGCAAACCTTCACACATGTTGGGAAGAGGTACTGTACCCTTTGCTTGCACTTACTTTTCTAGGAAACAGACTAATTCGCTGTTAAGCGAAAAGCCCTAACAGCAGGATCATGCTGGGGAGCGCGGTTTGTTCACACGAATAACGTAAAAGAAAAATCAAACTTGAAATGTGCAAGTATTTGTTCCATTTTCGTGCTATAAGCCCAGCCACGACTAAGCTGAGCAGATGCTTACCAAGATCAGGGCACAGACAGAACACACCTGAGACACCCGGCCCAGCCTTACAGGTGAACTTTGTTCATGTATCTCATTACAGTCCATCGTTAGGATAGATCTATCGTTGCTAAGTACAGCCTTCACTTAGCAATACTGATGCCAGGTCTAGAAACAAATGGTTTTAACAGAGAGCATAAACATCTTTCTATACTTGTGTCTCTGCAGACTGTGTCTGAACTGCTGCCTGTTACACCACGAAGCAAACCTCTCAGCGGGAGCTGGTTGCTCCTGTTGTGCCCGGTGGTGTTGTAGAGACGGTGACTGCAACCACGAGCTCCCGAAAAGCCAAAGCCTTCCGAAGAACAGCTGTTGTCGGCAGCGTAACTGTCAGAGCTGCTTAGTCCTGAGACCAAGGACATTCAAACACGAGCACCCGTCCAGGACTGAGGTTTTAAAAATGTATTGAAAATAATAACGACCCTCTGGAATCACCAGGATTAAACGCAGAGCAGCGCAGCATCTCCGAAAGGTATCGTGCCTCGCGTCTCTGTGCTGACAGGACAAGGCACTCACTAGTCAAGGAACGCTGCAGAGAGCGCGACAAAAGCCATCTTTGCTGAGACTCAGAACATTCGGACTTGCAGACATTCAGCACTCGCTGGGATTTTGGCAGAATCTACAGCTCACACCCCGGTAAAGATTTTCTCGTTGCAAGCTGGTCTGCAGCTATTTTGACATCACTGTCCAACATCTCAAAGCAATTCAAACCCCAGCGAGTCACAATCATTAATGAATGTGTTGCTCTTCAGAATTGTCTAATGCAAATTATAGGCAATTTCCTTTCGTTTATTAAATCTTTTTTGAAGCAACTGACCTCCTAACACATGTACTGCAACATTCAGTTCTGACAGTTAAGAGCGACTGGTGCTTCAGAACCAGAGAAAACAGACGTCCTAACTTAGTTTTTGTTGCCGTTTTAATTAAAAGAGTCAGTGGAAAAAGAGCTTCTTCAGTAATCAGAATTAAAGGCTGTTCTAGACATAAAGCATGCTTATTAAACAGAGAATGGAATGAAACTGTGAACTCAAACGCAGCAAGATCTGACCTCCTTTGGCAAGTCACCCGCTGCAAAATACTGAATAAAAAGGAAAAAAAAAAAAACCTGAAAAAGATGACCTTGAGGAGTCATACTTGGGTACAAGAACAAATCAACCTGTCTGAGGATAATGGTTGAGAAATCAGCGCTTCCCTTTGTCTCTCGCTCAGTCAATCCAATTAAAAAACCAGCCAGAAGTGAGTCATGTGAATGAAATGATTGCTTTCACTCAGTATGTTAATTGACTGGAAATTGCATACGTGCCAAGGTGTGATAAGAGAATACATTGCATCCTCAGTAGGATTTATCAAAGTCCTGGATGTGCGAGGAGGAGGCAGGACTGATACTACTAAAGCTGAAAAGGAGAATTCTGAGAAATTAACTGGAATATATTCTTTTCCTTGAATATCTTCTTTTTCCTGAGCACCTAAACCAGGAGACATTAAGTGAATCCCTGTTAGGAAACCGTGCAATACTGCGATTAATGTTGTTGTTCTGAGCTGACACTCTTTTGTTCTGAATGAACTTTTGTTTTTGAAAGAAGCCAACTCATCATTTACATTTGCTCAGTCTCTCCTGAGTAAACAGCAAGATGGAAAACACGTTTTTATCTCCACCGCTTCGGGTTTCTTTAGGACAGAATAATTACATTCAACAAGAAGCAATTCCTTAGGGCAGATTTAAGCAAATCCATTACCTCTGCTAAGAGGAATCCTAAACAATAACTAATGAAAAAGAAGGGGGAGGAGAAACCTCGATTTATAGACATCTCTAAATATACTCTTTTTATGCCTGTGCCAGACACAAACAGTGCGAAGACATCTCTCAACAAAGCCTCTTCTCTGCACCCAGCCCCGTGCGCTCCCCCACACGTTCCTGAGGACCCCTGGAACACAGACATAAAACAGCCGAGACACTTCGTGTCTAAAAAGAAAGCGGCAGCACCCCCGATTAGTGGAGAAAATGGCAAAAACTGGAAAACGCCACACACTGCAGCCAATAAAAGTGGGGAAACTCCATCCCAACTTAATCAGCCCCCCCAAAACCGCAGCCTCTCTGCCTCAACCATTGCTTCTTGCCACTGTTTTCGGCAAGATGTTTGCAAGCCCCATCTTTTCTTCTCTTTGCTCCGCGTGTGCAATTGTTCTAAAGCAGTTGTGCATGAAAATAAAGCCCGTGTCAACAGGGGCTACCCTGCACCCGTAACGCAGCCTGGGAGACGAGGGTCTGCTACCAGAGCACGTCGTAAGCGCTCGTGAGCCAGCTTTGCCGTCGCCAAATTTAAAATCTCTACAGTAAATTCAAATGTCTATCACAAATTTGGGGGGCAAAGAAGTACTACAAAAACTGAATACAAATATAATTTGTAAAGCAAGGCTTCGGTTTTCTTCTCTTTTTTTGGGGGGGATGGGGGAGAAATGAAGAGACATCGCTGCAAAACCTGAGCTGGAACTTCCAGCAGCTTGTCTCTGCGTCTCTTTTGCTTCTGCCCGATTTTACTGAAAAGTAGGCACTACGAGCCATAATGCTGAGCAGAGTGAAGTAACAGCCGAGCAGACGACTAAACACTCCCATACCCTTGGCTCGCAGCCTACCATTACTTTTCCACCACCGTTGCTTTTCGTCTGGCACCTGCTCATAAGAAAGCTTCCCCGTGTTGAATCGGTTCTGCAGGACGGCTACTGTTAGTTTGGAGACATCTAAAACGATCTTGAAAATTTACAGTAAAAAAAAATTAACAGTGATTAGATCAAAAAGTACATTTGTAAAAATGGGAAACAAGAAAACTGACAAATTCTTGACCCCAAATTATCAGCAGGTGACAGAGACCAATCCTAATATTAAAATCCATTTCTCCAACGCTAGTTGTCAAATAATGCATTAAAATAATCTGTGATGCGGTATAAATTCCATATTAACAGAAATACATCAGCCAGCCTGTGCTTTGTTTTCCTTCGTGCCGGTGCGAGATACATCCAGGGGCCGCTGACGGAGGAGAGGAACTATCGACAAAACATCGCCTCCGCTGACGCTTTTGGTATCTCAGGCAACCACAATTAATCCTCTCGTCTCTCTCCCACACCAGCAATGAACAGAAGGGATGGGTGAGAACCCCCATCTTCAGTAAAAACCCGCTTGATGTTATCACACAGCAAGACCGGGGCCGCCTCTTGG